TTTTGTTTTAGACCTATTACTCAATATAGAAATTGTTGGGGTGTTTCATTATCATTTTGTCTCGCGCAGATCAACTCTTGGAACAATTCACTAGAGTTCTGTTCACCAAGATGAGAATGTAGGAAATCTTTCAGTTCACTCACTGTCAGTTCATCTTTATTCATTAGCATATCTTTGAAATTACCAGGTTTAATTGCCCTTAACACAGCTCGCACTATTTCAGTATTGCTAAACTGTTCTTTAAATCCTTCCTCAATCTGCCGGCAAAGGTGATTATAACTGATGTCAGACCCATGATCTCCGATTTGGCCACCGTGAATTTTAAACTCTTCTATGAGCGACACTACTTTCTCCTGGGTTAGGCATTCACGACTTTTGACCGTGTCAAGCGATTTAGGAAGTGTAGGCTGGACAGCACTGTTATTTTTCTGCTCAACTCCTCGTAACTACTAAGTAGAGCCTGCTACCCTGTCACCTTGTGGAGAACCCCTGTATTGCGCCCCACACTTTCCTATTATTATTTTATTACTTTTACTAAATTACAACACTAAATATTTTAACAAAATTATGTGACCACACTTTGTGGGCGTACACATTAGCATGACTACAAATTAGACATCAGAACGTTGCATATGTGATGTCACAGCAGAATCTCCTCTCCCCTAGCATAGCTGCTACTTACCACATGGCCAGATTTATGGTGGTTCTTTCCTCCTGAAGGAAAGGTTTCAAGTTTGCTAAACTTACAGCCCTTTTCCCTCTGTTTTTCCCCGTGTCTGGTTCGATGACGTCACTTTAGTGAAGCACATTTGTAGTCCTGGACCGATTTTCACACAAAACCAAAAATGTTTCCCCCGTTTAAAAAATAAGCATTTTTTTGGTATCTGTAAAATTCACAGACATCATACGTGAAATCCATGGCACATGACAAGCAGAATTAGAAAATAGCGTTTTTAGCCCCATTGACTTTCATTCATTTTATGTTCTTCCTGGGACCCATGGTGCGAAAGTAGATGGGCGTGACTTAGGCTCCCTATAAATGTTTAAAATAGGGATGTCCCGATACAACTTTTTTCACTTCTGATACAGTATCGATATTGCAGCCTTCAGTATTGACCGATATCGTATCGGATTGATATCAGCACAAATCATACATACATTTACCTATTTCATAGTGTGGAATGTATAAAAGGCTTGATCAAGTTACATTACTCAAACAGAAAACAAAAGCCAGCAACAGCAAGTATAAAAAACTGACCATGTTTTTTTTTAACCTTTTGTGGCATAAATCTGAACAGCTGAGGTTGGAGACATAAGGAAATAAACACAATATTGTTCACTGATCAACTGGTACAAGTTGGTCTAAAGTTTCAATTTTACACACTGTGAAAATCCTCATGCACACTTAAGCAAGCAAACGTCCTGATGGCATGGCACATAACTGATCACACTTCATAATAGAAGCTAATGATGGGTTATTAGAGCAACTGCATCCTGTTGCAATAAGGTACACTTAATGCATGACACGATTAGTAGACTAATCGCCAAAAAAATCTGGCGATTAGTCGACTACTAAAATATTTTGTGGCATCTCTATTCCACAGTCATACTCTCCTTGAGACTGGTAGCATGAATGCTAATGATAACAGGAAAGGAGGGATATCTTAGCGGCCTTGACTAACATGCTAATGCAGCGAAGCATTCTGGTAGTTGAAGTATTAGTGGCATATGCGCTTGCGGGCTAATTCTAATACACATTTGATATGATTTCCCGGGCCAAATAAAATGACGCCGCTGGCCAAATTTGGCCCTCGGGCCTGAGTTTGACACCTGCAAAATAGAGGATGGACCTCAAGGATCGGTGCTGGACACAACTGCTCTAGACTTGTGTGCTTGTGACTATCTGGAGACACACAAACAGGCACATGAATGTCAAAAGTGATGTCATTTAAAGGTAGATTGCAGGGTTGCAACTAATGAATCTTTTCATGATCCATTAATCTGACGATTATTTTTATGATTAATCAGTTAACCAGTTTTTTTTTATCTACAAAATAACACGCAGCAGGAGCAATCCGGAAATAATTCATCATTATTTTTAAAAGGGAGTGCAGAATTATTAGGCAAGTTGTATTTTTGAGGAATAATTTTATTATTTAACAACAGTCATGTTCTCAGTGAACCCAAAATACTCAATATCAAAGCTGAATGTTTTTGGAAGTAGTTTGTAGTTTGTTTGTAGTTTTAGCTATTTTAGGGGGTATCTGTGTGTGCAGGTGACTATTACTGTGCATAATTATTAGGCAACTTAACAAAAAACAAATATATACCCATTTCGGTTATTTATTTTTACCAGTGAAACCAATATAACATCTCCACATTCCCAAAAATACATTTCTGACATTCAAAAACAATACAAAAACAAATAAGCGACCAATATAGCCACCTTTCTTTGCAAGGACACTCAAAAGCCTGCCATCCATGGATTCTTTCAGTGTTTTGATCTGTTCACCATCAACATTGCGTGCAGCAGCACCACAGCCTCCCAGACACTGTTCAGAGAGGTGTACCGTTTTCCCTCCTTGTAAATCTCACATTTGATGATGGACCACAGGTTCTCAATGGGGTTCAGATCAGGTGAACAAGGAGGCCATGTCATTAGTTTTTCTTCTTTTATACCCTTTCTTGCCAGCCACGCTGTGGAGTACTTGGACGCGTGTGATGGAGCGTTGTCCTGCATGAAAATCATGTTTTTCTTGAAGGATGCAGACTTCTTCCTGTACCACTGCTTGAAGAAGGTGTCTTCCAGAAACTGGCAGTAGGACTGGGAGTTGAGCTTGACTCCATCCTCAACCCGAAAAGGCCCCACAAGCTCATCTTTGATGATACCAGCCCAAACCAGTACTCCACCTCCACCTTGCTGGCGTCTGAGTCGGACTGGAGCTCTCTGCCCTTTACCAATCCAGCCACGGGCCCATCCATCTGGCCCATCAAGACTCACTCTCATTTCATCAGTCCATAAAACCTTAGAAAAATCAGTCTTGAGATATTTCTTGGCCCAGTCTTGACATTTCAGCTTGTGTGTCTTGTTCAGTGGTGGTCGTCTTTCAGCCTTTCTTACCTTGGCCATGTCTCTGAGTATTGCACACCTTGTGCTTTTGGGCACTCCAGTGATGTTGCAGCTCTGAAATATGGCCAAGCTGGTGGCAAGTGGCATCTTGGCAGCTTCATGCTTGACTTTTCTCAGTTCATGGGCAGTTATTTTGCGCCTTGGTTTTTCCACACACTTCTTGCGACCCTGTTGACTATTTTGAATGAAACGCTTGATTGTTCGATGATCACGCTTCAGAAGCTTTGCAATTTTAAGACTGCTGCATCCCTCTGCAAGATATCTCACTATTTTTGACCTTTCTGAGCCTGTCAAGTCCTTCTTTTGACCCATTTTGCCAAAGGAAAGGAAGTTGCCTAATAATTATGCACACCTGATATAGGGTGTTGATGTCATTAGACCACACCCCTTCTCATTACAGAGATGCACATCACCTAATATGCTTAACTGGGAGTAGGCTTTCGAGCCTATACAGCTTGGAGTAAGACAACATGCATGAAGAGGATGATGTGGACAAAACACTCATTTGCCTAATAATTCTGCACTCCCTGTATATATATATATATATATATTAGTGTTGTCAAAAAAATCGATACCTAGATATAAATCGATGCTAAAAGTGGTATCTAAATTAGATATTCCATCCCTGTGGTATCGATATTATGGACTATTATACACAGCCTTCTTCAAGTACACCGACACGCACGACAGCCAGATGCCGTAAAGCAGCCTCCGCCTCCCAGACAAACAGAAGAAGACGCCGCATGGCTACATTGCAAATTCCCACGCGAGTTGTCTCCGATCCAAGTTTTGTCTGCCAAATAAACAAAAACATAAACAGCGAATTTGGGAGGCGCTTAACAGCCCAACTTAATTAGCATACCAAGTCCGACACGTAGTTGTATATTCACGCTTATGTGCTTAAAGGAAACTCCCGTTTATTGCAACCCGGACTTAATTTCTAGCATGCAGTACGTTTGTTTACTCACGCTGACAACTTTGGTGCTACGTGGATTCCCCGGGGTATTTAGATCCATCTGCGAATCACCGTCTGCGTATATCCATATAACGGGTGCGGACGGGCACCCATGGTGCAGCCTCGAAATAAGACCTTATCTGCACCAAAACATCTCAATGTCGAAAGGTTTTGTTAGGAATCATTAACATGATTCCCCTGTTCGTTTGGAGCGAGTCTGGGATTTTTAGGCGTAAACAGACTAGCCGCAGCTAATCTAATCGGCGCTTTTAATGACGTCACTGCCGTGCGCCAATCTGTTTTTATTAAGATTACCGGTAGATGTACCTTTGTCCTACTGTGGAGAAATTCGTTTTCTCCCTTTATTGACCAACAGAGTTGTTCAAAAGTACAGAACAAACATATGGCATTACATCTTATGACAAAAATGCACCTTAAACAGAGTTTAAGCAGCAAAACATCACTCTGCAAATAGTGTATATATAGTGAGACAATTCATGATTTAAAGTGTTTTTGTATGCACGTTTTAAAAAATGCTGATACTTGAAAGGTTTAAGCACTTAATACACTTAATTCTTAACATTTAATTTTTGCAATATAAATTGAGGAATGTTATTTTTTGAATAAACTTGTTCAATAAATTTGTGTTTCAAAATAGTACCGAAATCGAGTATCGAGTATTTTTTCAAGTATCGAATCGAGTTTAAAATTTTAGTATCGTGACAATCCTAATATATATATATATATATATATATATATATTTCCACAAATGCAGATATTTTGATTTGGATAAATTTCAACATAGATTTAATGAATAATGACAAACTGATGAATGGTGTGGCTGGTGTTGTGTTTGTTGTTCAGCTGTTGTACTCATGTTTGGAGTATTTGACATGTTTTTATCTCCAATTACAGAGATTAATAGAAAAAATCCCAGAGAACCTGATGGTTCATCAGAGTGTTCAGGGTCCCCTGGAGGATCCTTCTGTGGAGAGCGCAAAAGCATTTCCCCCCAGTGGAAGAGCTTGGTTCATCAAGAGCCTCAGAGCTCCAGCCCAGGGTCAGAGCCAGCCGTGGCCAAGGTCAGCCAGAGAAACTTAACCACAGAGAAGCCTGCTGTGTGGGAGCGCCAGTATCCTAAAGTAACGCTTTGTGACGTCGCTGAAAAGTGTCATGCGTGTAGTCATAACTGTGGCTACACGTTACCAGATGTTCTGAAGACCCGCGTGGTGCATTGCTTCAAACAAGATATGAAAGCTGAGTTTTGTATTTGGCCCGCTTGTTCAAGGCAGAAGAACGAAATTGAGGGAAGCGCTCTAAATCACAATAACAAAAGCAGTCCCAGTATTCCAGCTCAGAAGGTCATTAATCAGCTACAAAGTCCACCAGAACACAAACACTTGGAAGGAGACACAGATTCACACAAGACACAAAGTTCTTCACAGTTTTTCCCCAATTGCTTTACAGGGGAAGAACCTGCTGCTTGTTTTTTATTAACGGGTAAACAGACCCATGAAAACTCTGGTCCAGGATCTGATGTGATGGATGCCGACAGCCACAAAGACAAAAGAATGAAGCTTGGGGAGAATGGTGGCAGGAGCAGAACTTGTGACTCGCCGTTGACCGAAAACATCAGGGAGGATGCTTGTGGTCAGAGAGGGGATCTCACTGAAACTTTCGTACCTTCAGATGTTTCTTCTGAGAGCAGTGAGGACTCTGATGACCCAGAGACATTTATCTGCCAGAGAGTAAAAGCTTACTTTAGAGAAATGCGTTGCACATGTGCACGCACATACATGTGCTGGCCTTTTTCAGGTGGTTCAGCAGGATCTGCTGAGTCAGCGGGGACAGGGACTCCCAACCAGACCAGTTCATCTACAAAACCATCCATGGACAAGTCCTCACATACGCTCCTGGAGCAGCAGATGGATTTCACAGGACAAAACAGGACAAGATGCACTAATCTCCCATCACACATGGACAACACTAACATGAAGAGGACAGTGTCCTCTGGGCATTCTGAAGGATGTTCCTCTAGTCTTCCATTGGAAACTGTTTTACTTTCCAGCTCAAACCTTTCGGAAAAAGATCCAGGTGACACAACGCCCAGGTCACCTTTTCTCATGAACGGACCTGGAACAGACGGCTCCACACCTACGCCGTCCTCCTTGGAACTCAGCCAGAGAGACATGAAAGCTACCAGCTCTCTGTCTCCTTCATCAGGTTCATCCATGCAGGATGCTTCAGGTAGCCTCTCCGGCACTCCCAGGTTCCCCAGTCCTCCATCGGGTCTATCGGAGAAGGTCCAGGATGCTGAGCTGCCAATAGGGAGACTGTTCTTGTGTTGTGGAAACACTCAGCCAGCTGCATCTGATTTTTCATCTTCAGCATCTTCAGCTAACTCCTGTCATTTAAGCATGTCTCCCTCCTTTCTCCAAGGGAAACAGGAGAGTAGTAAATTACTCACAGACCTCAGTCCACCTGAGCTGGAAAAATGTCCATGTCCCTTTGATGTTGGTGAACACTATGAGGACTTGAATGAGTGTAGATTCGCTCCTGTGCTGTCTCCTGTCCTGTCTCCAGAAGGACCCAGGTGGAGGACAAGCATCTTCTTCCAAAGCTCGAGCAGTTCAGAAAACGAGGAGCAGAAGGTGATGGGAAAAGATACAGACAGAACCAAAACATCACCCGATCAACACATGGCACCAGGAGTTAGCAGTAGCAGAGAGAATAACTATGGGGATGTCTATGGAGACAGTACACCTCAGTCTTCCTCAAACAGTGAAGATGTGGGTGACCTGACTGAAAAGGAATGTCCAAATGAATCGGAACAAGATTCCCTGGATCTCTGTGTTCCCGCTGAAGCCCACTGTCCTCCCAGCAGTAATGGTGACCGTAGAGCCTTCAGCCATGAAGAACAGTCATCTGATGTAGGAGGAGGATCAGGCTCAAAAGGTCGTCAACCCAAAGCTGGATCGGCTGATCACCCTCAGCCTACCGTTATGGATGAGTTCACAGCGTATGAGCAGGACATCCTGCTGTTGAATGCCCCAGAGGACAACCCAGAGCTGTTTGAGAACCTGCCCAAAGAGAGCCTGCTGAACCTGGGTCCTGCCAGACCACTTGGTGCTCCTCTGAAGAACCCCACAGCATCCTTACAGTCTGAACAAAGGTAAGGTTGGTGTTGGCATCTCAGAGCGCTGACATAGGCTTCATATCACATGCTCTGTTTGTGTTTCAGAGCAATGCCGGTTATTAAAAACATTCTCAGTGATGTTCCTGATGGAAAAGGTGAGAACAGCCACACCCGTAGAGGTTTACTTCATAGACAGGTGCAAGTTCTTTAATCCTAATGGAACAAAACTTATTAATTCTTCAAGCTACTTTGGAGACGTTCTCATTGAATCCACAGCTGGTTGGTGCTTTTGCTTGTTACAGAGGAGAGTGACAGCCGGCCGTGGAGACGTCGATGCTGCCTCACCACCCCTACTCAAACACAAAACACGTGCCCTGCTGCTTCCAAGCAAACCAGACGTGTGGTAAAGTAATGGGCCCTGTGCCACCTCAAGCACTGTCTCACACAGAGGACTAAAACCTCATTACCCTAGAGCAGTTTTTAAAGGCATTTTATTGTGACGCATCCAACGCACCAGTGGCAATAATGTTCCTGCAGCTCCGGAGAAACAAAGCATGCATGTGGGTTTCTCTTGCAGCAACGCTCTCTGCACACCGACTTGAATAAAAAGCCGGATGCATCACATTATTATGAAGAGATAACACCTTTTGTCAGTAATTCCAGTTAGACTAACATGTACATTTCAGAAGCTGTATGTTTAATCCATGTAACATTTTACAAAGATGTGTATTCCTTTGCTCCCTGCTGAAGTTCAGAGGTAATGATCACAGTGTTAATGTGTTTGGAGGTAGAGGACTAAAGCTGCCCTGTGTTTCCATGTAGGACTGGTCTGGGGTCGACATGAATAATGTAGACTGTGGCCTGGGAAGGTACTTGTTAGCACAGGTCACATGATGAACTCAGGGTTGCTTGCAGCTGGTTGAGATAACTGTTTGTGGTCAGTAGCAGGGTTCACTCCATCCAGACTGGGAGCATCTCCAACATCCCCCCACCTCTGTCTGCAGGAAATGGTGAGTCAGCGTTTAAAACAAAAACAAGGTCAAGTTTAAACTCTAATTACTTTTAATTGGTCATAGAAAAATGTGATGATTCTATATTTATCAGAACATAATAAACTGATGCGGTTCTAACTTCCAAGTGTAAATAATGCACAAAAAATCCAAATTGTGATTATTGAGCAAAAACCAAGTCAAAATGAAGAAGCGGTGTGGTTTCCACAGTTTATTTTTTGCATAATGAATAATAACATGGTGGAATCGGACTTCTTTTGAAGTTAGATTTGAAGAATATCAGAGATGCGCACGGACCTGTTTGGTACATCCCAGAATGAGGAGACTGTGCTCTTCTGCTCCTCACACAGGGCCCTGGATCAGAAACGCTGCAACTGGGATGGACTTAAAGCACCAGAAATTTAAGGTAAGTTTCCTTTGTTGTGAAGAAAAGTCAGTCCTCAGGTGTGTGTGTTCATGTATGTGTGCATGTGCACGCGTGGCTGCAGCTGATCCTGCCAATTATGACACGAATTTACAGTAACCAGGACTTTAGGAGTGGCTTGATGAACCTGAATTAATATAAATAGGTGACATGTTTAAGTGATAATTCTGCTGAAGATTTGATTCAGATTATTTAGTAAATAGATCAAATTCTAATCATAAAGTGTAATTTAATACCATTTATAAGATGGGTTACAAATTCAGTTTTTATGTTTGACGTACAGCAGAACTCCACATTCATCGTTTTTAGACAAAGCTGTAAACAGTTTGGATGTTCTAGTAAAGCATGTTTGAGCTGTAGATTTAGGGCTGAAGAAACAGTGTTTGATTCACTTCGATGGTGTAATGTGTGATGAATCATATCTCGTCTCAGTACTGCAGAAAATACTTCAGTGAATCATCGACCTGTGTGTTCAAGACGTGTCGCTTCCAGCATCTACCAGTGGAGGGGGATGAGAAGGTATCTGCTCCTCTCTCACCTTTTTAACGAGTTAGCCAAACTAGGAACACACTAGCAGACTTGAAAATCCCTCAGCTTTTGGCGAAATTCACCATTTTGAATCCAGAATGGCTCACCTAAGTGGTTGGTGCAGATCCAATGGGGAAAATATTCAAGAGAATTTTTAAGATGCCCCCCAACACCAGCACCAGGTGAAATAAACAAATAAATCGGTGAGAACCGGTGACGCGTTAGCCACACGAGCACATCTCGTCTGGGTGTCTTCTGTCCTGTGTAGACCTCCAGGCGGCTCCCGCTTGTACAAGCCGAACCCGAACGAAGCAAGCCCGACGGGTCGGATTGAACTTGGGTCCATTAATAATTTGAGCATGATGAGTCACGCTAGAACATCAGAGAGGAGACGAGGACGCACCTCGAATGAAGCCCAGTGGAAGCGTTATCGTTCATCCACAGTGGTAAAGAAATGCTAAAATGTAGACCGTTGTCTCTGGCGAGCCGGTTTTGGGCTTAAAGTCCGTCGGGTCATTTCAGTTTCAGTCTTTGGGTCTTGTTGGGCTCTACTGCGCTGCTGTGGGTGGGGGCGACATGCAAGAGATGAGAGCTCAGGACAGTCAGAGAAATTATAATATACCGTCAATCCTCTAATACAGGCCGGTATTCAATTAAAGGCCGGGTCTCCAATTTTGGCCGGTGTCGGGGTCGGCGGAGGTGAATAATGGCCGGTCTCTTATTGTGGCGGGGTGGAATGTGGTATCAAGCAAGTACGGGGGGGCGGTTGTGTCATCGTCTCACTTTTGATTTGCCAGTGATAGACCGCGAGGGTAACTTTAACCGTGCGGAGATGAAGAGGAGGCGAAAATTTGACATCAAGTTCAAAGAGAACGAGCTGATTATGCTGCAGAACACTCTGGGGAGCAGTAGCAGGGGTTGTATGAACTAGTCACTAGTCGACTTCACTAAAGTGACTTTTTATGCCTGTCATCGACTAGTCGCTGTCACGTGATAATGACCGGCAAGATGCAGTCCTCAGAAAAGACAGCAGCCTGCTGTCAGCAGGTGACAAGCTCCTGCACTCGGGGGGGGGGGGGGGGGGGGGGGGGGAACGCGCTGTGCCAGAGTGTCTGTACTGACACGCGATCCTTCATGTCGGCTCATTTCCTTTAATGTTTTCTGTCTTTTATTTGCACCTGATATGTTTCGCTGCCGTGGAGCGGGGCACATCACCTTGTCCTCCGGTGACGCACCGATCACTGATGCGGCCGCCAAGCAGCGAGCACTCTGCTGTTTTTGCGGTCGGTAGATCTTTTAGAACTGCAGTTCAAAGGTAACTCATGAGGTGAATATATATGAACCAAGGTAGCAGTTTCTCTTTAGGATTGAGAGGAGATGCAGGAAGATAATAAACAGATACAGGACAGAAAAATAGTCAAATAAAAACATGTTAGTTTTGTACCTGCTGGTTGCAACAAACAGACACCATTGAAGGTCATCAGAAGTGAGGAACAGAAAATGAAATAATTATTTTAATGTTTAGAGCAGCAGGAACTCTGAGAGGCTGCAGGCGCATCCGTGAGTTTGCGGCCGCTGCGCAGGGGGAGGGGGGAGAGGGCTGAAGCAGAAACTACCGTTGTTAAAAGAAATGTGTTTAACTTTGAAAATGTGGGCGCAATTTTAATCGTCAAAAACTCCAGCGAACCATTAGTTCATTTTGCTCAAATAGAAATAGAGGCCTGCCTCTAATTCTGGTCCTCCTTCCAATAAAGGCCTGGAGCTTGATGTGCTTGAGTCAAATACAGGCCCGGGCCTGTATTAGAGGATTTACCGTAGTTTTGCTGTCAGTCTGTAGAAGTTCTTGCTGAACTTTATTCTGCTTCATGAACCAGGGTGACTTGAATTGATAAATTCAACTTTAAGAAAACTTGGAAGAAACTTTAGATGTTTTCTTCTTGTTTGCCTGTTTTTCTCCTCAGAGACTCGATGTGTTTAAGGAGGTGATCAAAGTCAAAATGTCCCCAAAGGACATTCATTAGCTGGTTAGTGAAGGGGAGGTAGTTGTCATTAAACTAGGGCTGCAACAACGAATCGATAAATTCGATGAAAATCGATTACTAAAAGCGTTGGCAACGAATTGCGTCATCGATTCGTTGTGTTGCGCAACTCTTCCAAAAGCCCCCTCCCCTCCTGCCCGCCGTTGCGCGCAGACCGGTGGAGAGCCGGCAGGTGTTTGTAAGAGGAACATGGCAGAAGCAGCGAGACCCCAAAAAAGTAAAAACTTCTACTGTTTGGGAGCATTTTCAGTTAAATCAGGCGAAGACATGCAACGTTTGTAGGTCAGACTTAGCATGGCATGGGGATACTACGGTGATGATGCAGCGTCTTAAACGCAAGCATGTCAGAATCATCAGCGAGGAAGGAGAGAGCTCGGTGTCCGGGTAAGTAAAAAACTTTTCAAAAGTGATTCACCCAAGCCCCGGATTATTACAGGCTAGACATGCCCTAAGCTCGTAAAAAAAGTCTATAAAATTGTAAGCGCGACGCTATTAGATAGGGGGGGGGGGGGGGGGGGGACTCGCGCCGCTGCGAACCGGTTCCGCCGTCACATTCCCGCAGAAACTGGTTGATCACACCGGGGCCAGACTACTAACATGTGGCTTTACAACCACAATGTCCTCACAAGCGAAAACGCTTTTAAAAGGGAGGGAGGAGTCCTAACTGTTGCTGCAGGCGTGTTGTGTGCGTGTAGTTATATACTGGTTAACCCTTTGGTGCATGATGGTCACTACAGTGGACAGGTACTCAAAATTGTTATTTATTTGTTTTTGCTATTAAGCACAGCTGTTGAAGACTTTATTGTATTTGAGCCCCTCCATTTGGACTTCAGTAAGTCAAGCCAACATATTTCATGTTCAGAATGCACGTGGTCCACTAAGGTGGACCTGTAATAAATTATTTGTAAATTATAAAATTTTACAAAAAATATTTGTTGAAATTTGTTTCATTCACACCTAAAGATGAATGAAAAAAATTGTTAAAAAAATCATGGCTGAAGATTTCATAATTCATGCATCAAAGGGTTAATATATTTTTGGGTTCAGTTGCTTTCATGTGTCCTAATGTGAGTCTATTTGGGATCATTGGAATGATCAGCAGCATCTCTTGATGTGACTTTAAGGCAGTTGCCCAGGGCATCATCACAAGGAGAATGGCATTCATTTACTTTTGTTTTATTTGGTATTTTTCAGTCATTTTTGGAAATAGTGATTAATTCACAGCCTATGTTTAATTTCATTTAAAAATTAGTTGTTTGACATCCCCAATTATAATAAATGTCTACAGATGAGATCAAACAAAACAGATGAGAATTGCCCTTAAAGAGCAAGTCACCCCCAAATAAACTTTTTTTTGCTGATAAACTAAATAAACGAGTGTCTAATCGTGCTGCAGACACGTGTCGTCAATAATTTGGCACTTCAGTGCATCTTAGTTAAAATTTAAATATTCTGCCTAAAACTGGCAGTGTTGTGCCGTTGTCAGGTAAAAACTCTGCACTGTATTTTAATTTAAATCTGCCACCGCTATTGGCTAAGAAGTATGCTATGATGTAAACTGGTACATTATGATGTCACAATGCTGTCGTGAGCCTGAGTGTGTGTGTATTTGTTAGCGGCTCCGCCCTCTCGGTCTGCCAGGCAACAGCATGTGTTGCATTTTTCAAACATGAAGCGGGAGTGGAGTTAGACTCTGGTAGGGGTTGACTTGCTCTTTAAGCTGTTTAACTTGGACCAAGCATTTTAGGTCACAGATAGGTGTAGCTTAAGGTCTCTGTCTATACACCTTATAAGACAATTTAGGTGATGGCATGTTGGTTTTCTGCTATTGAACTGTTTTCTAATAATGTTGTGTTTAAGTGAAGGAACGAAGGAGAAAAATAACGTTTCCCTAGCAGTTTTAAAAAATGTCCCTATGTAATCCGATTAATCGATTAATCGTGTCGAGACCCCATCCGATTAATCGATTATCCAAATAATCGTTTGTTGCAGCCCTACATTAAACCCAAATCCAGCCCACTGCCTCCTGCTGACATTATTATTATTATTATTATTATTATTATTATTATTATTATTATTATTATTGTTGTTGTTATTACCAGCAAATATAAAGTCAACATCCAACATTTTTATTGGAAGTTTAGGATTCTTTATGGTTTTACAGTTTTCCGCAGCAGAGCCTGGTTCCTGTCCATCACATTTCTGAAATGAGACCATTAGGTTCAAACCAGGCCAAACCTGTTGTTTATCTTATTTCATCGATATTTATTCAGTGTTTAAACTCACACAATATAATCATATAACCTGTTAAAAAGCACTCGAATGAGGGAAATGACATCTGCTCACTAAAGAGACCCCCAGACCAACACCCCCATCTTCTGATGTCCTCACTCTCTCCGTCTGTCTCCGTCCTCAGAGCTGAGGACAAGCCTGGGACATGTGGTTAAACATGTCCCAGGCTTGTCCTCAGCTCAGAGGAGCAGAAACTTGTTAGCAGAAGGTAAACAAACGCTTTGCTACTCTGAGATAAAACAAGTCTCATCGTGATTCTAGTCAGGTGTGTCTGAGCAGGGACACATAGAAAACATGCTGAACACTGAAGGGCTTGTTTGGGAGTGAGCAGCTACTTTCCCCGATGTGGAATCACCAAGCATGCGCAGGGGAAGTCTTCACCCTTTTCACCCTTGGCCCGTTTTCATGTCTCACTGGAAGGATGCTGTGTAGTTGAGGATTTAACAAAGATGGATGGAATATTCTGATCCATCAGTCAAGTCGGCTAGGTCAGTTCAAACCAGTCAGATGGGAGAATATCACCCTCTGCAGTGCTGTTGTTGTAACTGCACACACCTTTAATCTTTGTTTTTTTAGTTCTGTGTTGAGATTGTGGCCAGATTCACCAGAAACCCGGTGTGCCTGCAGAAAGCTGGTAAGTTTAGCGTTCATGCTGCTGGAGCTCTGGTGTTTGTCCTGTCTGTTGGCCTGAGGCGTGGTTATTGATTTATTTGCTCCTGTGTTTCTCTCCAGTAGCCGTGTTTACAGGATACTACCAGAACAGCCCACCAGGAGAGTATTTCTCCATGCCACTTCTTCTGTCTCTCCTGTGGGCTCTGCTCAAAGCTAGCTCGGTGTCTGATGTCTTCTCGGTCCTCACTGTCAGCTTGGCCTACAACGTGGTGGTTAGTGTTCTGTTGGTTCTCCTTTTAACCTCGCACTGTAGTCTGATGCCTGATGACCCAGAGCAAAGTTTAATATCTGACCCCTGTTCCCAGCCTGGCCATGAATTCCTGTTAGCTCTGTTTAAATTTGTGAGAGAGAACGGCCTCACACGCCTCATACCCAAACTAATGCAGCTCACAGTCAAGGTACCTCCGTTCCTTTCCTCCATCTCCTGTCAGGAACAGGATCTTCATTTTCATGTGTATCTTTTACCTGTGTGTTTACCAGATGGCCGACGTTGGTTTACTGCTGAACTTGGATTACCTTGACTGCATAAAAAACACTCCCATGTTTCAGCAGATGGTTCATCCAAGCTCGCCTGTTGCTGTTTCTGCCAACCACAAGTTTGTTTCATCTCCTTTCTTCATGACTTCTCTCCTAGCCCTGTAATGATTCTGATGTTTCTGAATGCTCCCCCAGCACACCCACGCCAGAGTACCTGAAGCTGGCCCACGCTGTTGTTGAGATGGAGGTGAGTTTGCTTCTCTGGCCAGATGAATCAAAGTTTTGTGTTGATTTTTCTGTTTGTCATCCATCAGCTCTGTATCCAGCTAGAGGACTGGAAGCAGATGGGAGAGGTTTTTAAGGTCATCTGTCGGTGCTACCAACACCCAAACCAGGTGGAGCGCATCAGTGGTCACATCGCCATCGCTCTCCTGTCTGAGAGCAAAGACAGGGTGTCTCTGCCCTTTGCTGCTTTTATGGAGATGGGTAAACACGTTCTCTACCTTCTTGATAACATCTCACTGGGCTGTAACTTGTTGGAGACGAATGTTCCTAGTGTGTTGGAAACATCCTCGTAAATGCTGTTAGTATTTTCCTCCCTACAGTCAACTTTGTGGTGTCCCAGATTCAGACTGGATATTTACCTTTAAATGTAGTAGTAGTAGTAATAGTAATAATACTTTAGTAATCCTGATGGGATTCTCTTAGTGTGTCAGAACGAAGATGCTGACAGCCCACTCAAGAGTTTTGTAGGCAGAATTGGAGTGTCTCTGATGCTGCGATACTACAAAACCCACCAGTGGTGTAAGGTAACTTGACTCCATCATGTGTGTCTTCAGACCTAAATCCAGCTTTCATCCTGGTGTGTCAGAACTATGACGCCTGCCTTGTGTGGATCTACACCTACAGGGCAGCAGGGTGGTGGAGCTGATGTCCGTGTCAAAAGTCGGCTACACAACACTGAAGGGTTTGTTTGGGAACGAGGATGGAGCATCACGCTGCTGCCTGGTCACCGTGGCAACAGAGCTCTTCCTCATGAGTGGAAGTGTGGAGGGAGCGCTAAAGACACTGCGAGGTAAAGTTGACTACAGTAATTATGCTCGCATCTAAGCAATCTGCGTTTTCCCCAGTGCTCAGATTCGTGTTCAGCCGACCCAACACCCCCACTGCTGACTGATTGGCCGGCTGAAGTTCATGCCTACCCATAGAGAGAGCCTCTGATTGGCGGGTAGAATCAGCCAGCGGCGGCTTCCCGCATCAGTCTGTATGCAGAGTAGTAAACATCTGCCTGACTGCAGCTGATGCCCACGTGCTCAGAGATATCTATGATCCTGAGGAGGCCACAGAGGCCACAGACATCGTGGCTTGGCTGGATCAGATGTGAACATGCCAGTAGATGGTTTTTGATATATTTTATTAGTGACACAGACCAAATTTGCTAGTATTTCTACTTTTCCTCATAGTTCTGTTTTAAATGATATTTGGAGGCGTGTGTGAACTGTGTGTATAATGTGTGTTAATTCAGAAAACAGCTGGTTCCTGAGCTCCAGCATGTGGCCATGTGAGCCTACAGACCTGGAGAGTAGAACTCGTGTTCTGATCCGACTCTCTGAGAAAACGTCTCACAGAGACACCATGGAGGTGCTCTGCAACCTCCCTGGAATTAACGACCCAGACTGTGAGTTGGAGAGTTGGCTCCGTGCTCCCTGTCAGCACTTTTTGGTATCGGAGTGTTTATTTTGTTTCAGTAACTCAGGATTATTGTGTCCTGCTGATAATGATCACTTTAAGTGCACAGCTGCAGTGCTGAGTTTGTGTTTGTGTCTTCACCTTTTCCTCCCCTTCCTCAGACCTAATTGACATCTCCAGGTACGGTCCGCTCTTTAACTCTCATCTGCACGTGTGTGTGGAGAAACGGATACTTCCTGTAGCTTCAGACACGGTGGACTTCATGCTATGTAAAAACCTGCCTGTAGAACACTCACTGCTGCGGACACTTGTGCATAAACTGGGCACACAGAACCTCTGGCTGCGGGCACGGGGAATCTTCAAACGTAAGTGTGCTGATGGATGAAGGGCAGCTGGTCTAATTCAAACTACAGTTGGCTAGGGAATATATTTGTTATGGTATGTTGAAGTTGAACCTTAAAGGGACATTTCAGCAATGTTGGGTGTAAAGGTTATAACTGAAAGGCTTCAGGTTGGCGTAACGGTGTTGGCATATTTCAGCTAATAACTGGTCTGAATGCAGCCAGCATGTGGTGTGGTGATTATTCAACAATATGTTGGAAATATTTCCCTCATTGCTTCTGCTTTGCAAGTGAAATCCAGCAGAAAGCTAATGGCATAAAGCCAAACTGATGCTGGTGGGTAAGACAAACATGTCTCACAAATAGCATCTCAATATTTCAAGGGAATTTGTGATATTTACGATAGTCGTGTCAGACCTAAAACTCAAACAGTAGACGTGTTTCTACTGTTGGAACTTCAGGGTCGTTTCGAGAGAAGGAAACGGACCGGGAGATTTGAATGCCCATTCCTGTCAGCTGTCGTTTTGCAATGTAATCCGGTTGGAGGATGAGAGCAGCTGTGTGTTGTGAAATGTGGCGTTCAGTGGTCAGAAAAGGCAGCGTTGCTTAAGCAGCCCAGTGAGACAACATCCCAGTGAATGACGTCACCGTGGGCGATTGGGAGTTTAGTAACGGTGGTTTTAAAGCAGTGCGAATGGTGCTTACTTGCATTTGCTTACATTCTGCTTCACAAGCAACTCTTCCACTTTTATACTGGTTTCTGTGGATGATGTACTTTCCTACGGAGTTTGAACTAGGGCTGAGCAAGTCTGGAAAGTAATCTAGTAGCGATTTAATTCACGATTATTTTCTCAAGGAGCTTTCCGCATATTTTCCCACTAACGGAAGCAAAAAAATAATCTAAGTAACTTGTGCTGAATATCAACAAGTTTACATATCTACATATTTATCTACATGTCATGTCTACAAGTTTATTTGTCTACATAAACACAAGTAAAGACAAAATGTTGTATTTGAAGGTGCAATGCTTTGCAGCCAGCAGCATAGGTATTAGCATCAACTGTGAAAATGTATTTGCGGGGAAAAGAGTGTCCCGTTTATTGTTTAGTGTTTAGAGTTTTTGACGTCTTGTCCATGCAGAGCTTCCGTAGTTCAGTTACGTCCATAGCAGCTAGCCAAAACTCAGCGGAGTTTAAGTCTCTAACGGTTTTCTAGCTTTGCTAAAATATCTGTCTGTACTTATTTGATTAATGGCAGTTTCATTTGGCACGTTCCTAATTCATTATTTGTAAGAATGTAATCGGCAATATTAGCATTAGCATCCGTATGGGCTTTTCTAGGTATATTGGCATTGTGCTATCCACTCGCTGCCATTGAAATTGCAGCCTTGGCGATTAGAAAACCTCCTTTTGTCACATTGCACTTTAATTGTTCCACCCTAGTTAGAACCAATCAGCATGCGTTAACTAAAGGTTCAGCTCAGCTACTCAGCCTTTCCGAGTACCTACCTCTATCCAGGTACTCTGAAAGTTCTTGTAAGTGTTCCAGAAAATGGCCCGTTCGGCCGGCCTGATGAAGTGGAAACATGCGCATGCCAGGAAGTAACGGTAAAATAACCCTGAAGTTCTGATGGTAGAAACACGCCAACAGATGATTTAAAAATGACTGAAGGTCTCAGTAACTGTTGTGTTTCGCTGCCAGGATCTCTGAGCTCGGGCTACCACCCTGAGGTATCTGCTCCTCCTGGGACCATGGCCCTAACGGTCCCCTGTCAGCTCGGGGAGGTGGAGCTGGCTCTGAGTCTCGAGATGTTCATCACTGTCAATGCAGCAGCCATCCTTCCTCTCCCAGAAGACACCACACTTTCTCTCAGTATCACTCTCAAGAGGTAAATGGTGTGTGTGAGAGAACACAGCTCCTTCATGTGGTGTGTGTGTGTGTGTGTCCATGATGGTCTCACTTCCTCTTCCAGGACTCAGAGCAGTGAGAGTGAGTACATCTCTGCAGGCAGTCGCGTTCTCTCTGCAGCCAGGATCCCTCAACCCAAGCTCATGGTCCATTACACATCAGTCAACTCATCGCAGGAGCAGGTGTTCAGGCTCGAAGTTTCCTCTGCGTGTCGCTGGCTGCACCACAACCATTTATGGGCCAGTGAGATGTGGACACACTAAATTATACAGAAATTGTATGTGTGATTATTTTGTTTATATATTATATAGATGTATACACAGTAAATTCAATTAAACACATCACTTAGGATCCTCCAGAGACAAGATTTCACAGAACTCAGTTGTTTCAGTTGATAAATACACAAAGATCAAAACCACACACAGAATTGGCTCCTGCTTTGATTCATTTAATTTTCAAGAGTTTGCAATGTTTTAAATGAGCAACAAAGGTTTTAGCTGATCTCGGTCACCAGAGGGCGACACTGGGCTGCAGTAACCGAGGCGAGACCAGTTCAAATAGGATGAAGTGATTTTGTGATTGCAGTAAAGAATTTCATTTATCTTCACTTGAGTACAACTCCTCTACATCCAGTGATGCTACTGGAGACCAGTAGCAATTCTCCTGGAGTTTCTGTAATAACAGAATTATTCAGGGATAAACTAGGGCTCATATAGCACTTCTATTATGCAGAACAAAGAGGCCGTTTGTAGAGTCTGTCTCATGGTAATCTCAGTTCCTCTGGCCTGTGTGCTCCTGGAGCTGCTGCTGGGCGTCATGTGGAACTAAACCCAGCCTCGCATCAACCACATCCACTGCTGCCGGGACTCGACAGCTGTGTGAGTGGCGAAAGGGAATCTATCAGGCTTATATCTCTGAACTCCAGAGGTAAACCTAATAATGTTTGTATATCTGTGCCAAAACAAGTTAAATGTCTCATGTGATCTCACTTGGACTAAAAAATAACCCTGACTTTGTACTGTTTGTTACAAAAATTGTTTTCTGGTTCACAAATGTTTATTCTTCTGCTAGTTTTTAATCTTTAAAGTAAAAGTTGTGAAAAAATGAAATTTGTGTTTTGACATTCCTTTGAATTGGTAGCCCTTGAGTTAAAAATATGTAAAGTCATTATTAGCTATTTAAAACAAGCGGTTTACATGTTAAATTCTTATTTTTGCTCTTCAGGTAGGATCATATTTGGTCAGAGCATTTTTTGTTTGAATGTTTTTTTAATTTGGGTTTCTGACGGGTATGGTCAAAGTAGAAAACATCCTCCTTTACATTTGTAACATTAGACAGATGTGGGCGTCAGGTTTGATCAGGAGCTCAACGTTAGAGCAGGACATGGTTTATTCACCTTCATTTGATTCCAGTTCTAAGCCATATTTAACGTCTTGTTCTTAGATGTTGGGGTCCAGTGTCCGTTATAAAGTATGACAAAAAAATGAAGATGTATTTTATGTGTGCGGGGCAGCAGTAGCTCAGGTGGTAGAGCAGGTTGCCTCATGATCAGAGGGTCATGGGTCCGATTCCAGCTCCCGCCAGGGGTATCCTGCTGTTGTGTCCTTGGGCAAGACACTTCACCCAACTTGCCTGTGTTAGTGGTGGTCAGAGGGGCCGGCGGCGCCAAATGGCAGCTTCGCCTCTGTCAGACCTCCCCAGGGCAGCTGTGGCTACAAGTAGCTTACCATCACTAGCAGTGTGTGAATGTGTGAGTGTGTGAAAGCGTCTTTGGGGGTCTAGAAAAGCGCTATATAAGTTCAATGCATTATTATTATTATGCTAAAATTCAGACATCAATAAATATTTAGAATAAAATCTTATTAAAGTTACACAGTTAAAGTTTTTTTTCTGGGCCCAAACTGTTTAAACTGTTAAGATTTAAATATAAATGTTTAAATTACACAAAAATATGATCACAGTTGGTAGATTATTTGTGTAATACTTCACGATCAAAACCTTTTGGTCATGTAGGACTAACTGGGAAACTAGAGGTTGACCGGTGTTTTTTCCCCCTTTGTAGCCGACGCTCATCTGTAGGCCACTGCTGATATTTAGGACTGATGTACGGGCACTAGAGGTGGGAAAAATGATCGATTCTAAGATGCATCGCGATTCAGCCATGCATGATTCCCCATCGATGCAGCAACATGACATAATGAGATCTTCTCCCCATGTCTATGTCTATGCGAGGACAGTAAAGTTTTGAGGTTTTACAATTACTTCTGGGGGCAGAGTTGCAATGACATGCGCACTGCGTTGCCCTAGCGCCAATTTAAAACAGAAAAGGCGGACAGGGATACAACATTACCAGTAATCAAAGATGCACCTGTTACATTTAAATCGGATGTCTGGACTAATTTCGGTTTTGGGATCCTGGATGTGAAAGAATCACTTAACAGTATTTGTTTACTATTTTTAAGTTCAGTAATATTCTATCTTAAAGCTGCTCTACCGAAAACATAATTTCTTATATTATTTAAGTAATTATAGGCAACACACTTTAAACATTATTGCTCACTATAGTGAATAGATGTATGATCTGTTTTTCAGGGATTTTGAAATCAAAAAGAAATTGAAAACTATTCTACTGCTTTTATTAAGCAATGAAAATTTTTGTGTGAAGAATCGTGATGCATTTCAGACTCAAATCGAATCGTTAGGCAGATAATCGGAATCGGATCGTGAGGCAGGTAGAGATGCACACCGCTAATAGGCACGACCTTATTTTTATGGGAAATTGACACCAACATCAGTAAATGCACAACATTTCTGAAGCTGAGACAGTTTTTGAACTCGGGACACCTAAAGTTAGATATTTATTATGCATATGTGATTAGTATAAATTCTGCTGCAGCACCGGGCTGCCCAGTCGACTTTATGAAGAACCGTTATGGCCATGTCCATATGTTAAAAAACTAGTTATTGTCAGACCGATATATTGGTCTACGGCCATGGGGAACTGACGCAACTTTAATTCCTTCCTGGTCATATTTGCCTCTAAACAACCCGTGTCCTGGGGGGTACAGACAATGTAGGGCCAGTTTGTCACTTTCTTTTATTTAACTCCTGGAAAAGTGCGCCCATTATGTGGGGGTATATATTTTTTTGCACGACACTACAGCCAGCGGTCTGACCTTACACGGTTTAAATCCCAAGGGAACAGCTAAACTGGGTTACCATCTCATTTAAACTTTTCCAGTGTGCGTAAGCGTGCCCCCTGGCGCCGTGTCGCGCGCGCTCGGACGTTTACGTGTACGTGACCACACCACGCTCGCTCACACCCCCTGAGTGTCGGGAGCGCGCGTGTGGCGCACACACCCCTCTCCTGCCTCAGAACGGAAACGAGTCCATTTTTTCCCCTCAGTCAGATAACAGCGGCTCGAGGAGCTGCAGCTCGCGCACCATGAGAGGACGCACGTTATGTTTATGTGACCGCTTGTTTGCGTTGCTGTAACAGGTAGGAAGTACGCGTCATAACCCAGGTGTAATTCTAGTAGGGCTGTTCGGGGGACCCTACGCATTCCTCTACGCAGAGAGCCAGGCACCAAGTCCCACTGACCGGGAGACGAGGACCGCGAGCCGCTGCTTCGGAAAGTGGACTGATGACTTCACCCTCAGAGGCAAGAGGCTAACGAGTGTGATGTTCGGGCTTTACCGGAGGCTCGCTGTGGTTGTTCCCCCCGCCACGCTGACCAGGTGGTCTCTGTTTTGATGAATAATTCAGGCTCCGTTGAAACGCCCGACGGCCGCGCTTGACGCCGCCTGAGCGGACCCTGATGGTGGACCTCAGGCCCGCCTGGTTCTGGTTTTCCGTTAAGCGGGGGGCTTTAAACAGCACCAGCAGGCGCTCGGGGTCGGTGCTGCCGAGAATCGCCGTGCCCCAAAGTCATGTTGCCTAGTCGGTGGGGGAGGAGAGACGGAGCTTCCAGTACGAAAACACCGGTCCGTTGTTGCTCCGGTTCGGGTTAAATTAACGAATCCCCGCCGGACAGAAATTCCCACCAGAAGCACAAACATTCGTGGATTTTATGGGAACTTTTTTTATTTAAAAATTCTGAAAACTGATTGAAAACCTTGTATTTTTAGAAGCTAATGGTTGTGTCGAACGGACTTCCTCTGATTTAGATGTTTAAAGTTACTTAGCACCGCTCTGACCTCCCAGTCTGCTTCAGAGGCAACAGCTGGTTCGGTGTGAGACTGGCTGATGTGTCATCAGATGAAAACCTCACACTCGCTCCTGCACGTGTTGTGAACTGAGCCTTATTTTGCTACAGATGGCTTCATTTCCAGACTCCGACCTGCAGACCTGCCCGCTCTGCAAGGAGTTGTGCGGCTCCTCCGCTCCCATCTCCTCCAGTTCGTCTACCTCGTCCTCTTCCTCGCATACTTCGACCTCGTCCAACCACACCTCAAAGAGGCTCCACGTCCTGCCCTGCCTCCACGCCTTCTGCAGGCAGTGCCTGGAGGGACAGCGCAGTCCCAACGACCCGCTGAAGCTGAGGTGCCCCACCTGCGACCAGAAGGTCTCCATCTCCGAGGCCGGGGTGGACTCCCTGCCTTCCTCCAACTTCCTGTTCAGCAACCTGCTGGACGTGGTGGTCAGCTCAGAAGATCAGATCCAGAACAAGAACGGCCACCACCACCGCGGAGGCTTGATTGGAGGCTCGTCCGCCTTCCACCCCCCTCACAGCGGCCTTTTGCACCCCCAGCATATGGGGGAACCTCAGTGCAGCTCTTGTGATGAGGAGAACCCAGCCACGTCTCACTGCCTTGACTGCCAGGAGTACCTCTGCGACAACTGTGTGCGAGCGCACCAGAGGGTGCGGTTGACCAAAGACCACTTCATCGAGCGCCAGGGAGAAAGCCTCCACCTGAGTCGGGTCAACAGCAACACAAACCAGCCCGGGGTGTCTGTGTCCCTCGCCCAGTCTCTGCAGAACAACTTCGCCCTGTTGTCCCTGTTCCAGGACCGTATGAACTTCTGCCAGCACCATGACAACGAGGTGAGTAGAGCTCAGAGTTCATTCACATCAGCTGTTGAGATCTTACACTTACACCACCACCCAGTCATGATATATCTATAAGCTCCAGAGTCTACACACACACCACACACACACACGCACACACTCTCTCCCATGGCGTAATAGCATTATGTGTGTAGAATAGAACCATACTGTGGGCCATATGGCCTTAGGTTCAAAGAGCTGAGTGGCTCTTCACCTAGTTCCCTGGAGAGGTACTGGCACGTGTGCTGAGCTGGACACACACACACACACACACACAGACCCTTTGTGCACACAAATGCAGCCAAATACGCATGCAGGGTCTGGTTAATCTGTACCACACCATCAACCTAGGGTGTAGAGAGGCCCATGCAGTAACTGCACGCATGTTTCTGAGACTTTAAAGTTTCTCTGTGGAGATACTGTAAATACTTTTAATTCGTGATAGTGGTAAAGTCAAGTTACAGTTGGAAGTTTATTTATTTTATTTTATTTTTTTGGTTTCTTGTCTGAGCAGGACGGCCTACAAAGGCCAGTAAAACAGAAAAGCAGCCTTTTCTAAGCCATATGGTCAGGAAGCCAAACAGTTGGCTTCAGTAGGTGGTCCTGAGGTTCTGGTTTCTGCTGGTTGTCTTCGGGAATGTTGCCACACTGCTGAAGGATGCATTATGCCTGCAGACCATGGATGATCACTTTTGCTTTAAGTAGTCCATTATTAATAGCTGAGCCAATACTGGGTGCATAGGTTGTTGTATATGCACCGCAAACGTCAAAGTAGTGTTGACCTTTTCACATAACCAGTAACAGATCATGGTTACTCATCAGTTTTAGGTTTATTTTGTTGCAGGGATGTGTGTCCCTTGTTACCTGGGCCCTAATGTAAATAATGCTAAACACAGCTGTTCAGTTTGGGCAGAATCTCTCTAAAATATGTGTAGTTCACCCAAGAGTACCCTGAAGGGTCTACTGTTATGACTTGAGTGGGTTATGAAGCGTTATTTAAACCTAAAACAAACAAGGCTTGTTGTCTGTGATGCGAATTGTGGGGACAGGTGGCAGGACAGTGAGCTGAAGAAGAGGTCCACTGCCGGACAATAATACTTTTAAAAATAAACAGATTCAAACAATGTCCATGAACTGATGCAATGACCTGCTACCAGTGGTGGGAATAACTGGGAATGTAACCTGTAATATAATATAATATAATATAATGCGTTTCCTTCACCGATGCAGTGCGTGCGTTCAATACAGTTAAGCAGAGAGGTGTGTTAAAGCTATCATCTCACCAGGAGCTAAAGAGATGGGTGTTTACATCCAAGCACATCATAGCAAGTGAGCAACAAAGAAGACGTGATCTGGCTGCAGAACTGAAGACATGCTGCTGCAAGCGTGAATCTGCGGTCTGCAGCCGTACCCTTCATGATGTCACAGCAGGACTTCCTATGTACGGAAGAGCTGCTCACCTGTTCACCGCTCAGACGCCAGTTCATTCATTCCTCGTCATGAACTTCTGTCTTCCTAGATTGTCCTCCAGTCATCCAGCTGGATGCAGTTAGTGGTCCTGATCACTTCGTTTCTGCTGTAACACTGCCTACCAGTTTCAGACATCATGGGCACTCAGGTGTTATTAGAACTAACTATACATCTCTACCACCCAGCTTCAGCACTTCCGTGTTTGGGTCTGACCCCAGTTAGTAAGTTAAAGACCTCAATCAGATTTGTGCCTGTTCTAGTGTCGTTTTTAAGAATTTTCATTTATAGATATGCTTTTACTAGATTATGAATAATAGAAATGCTAATATAAACCATAGGCATGAGTATGTGGACGCCCCATTGGGTGTTGGAGAGCGTAACAGTGTCGCCGCCATATTGGATGGGTTCCTCACTCTCCAGACCTTACTAGAGTCAGATGCAGAGTGAGCGACTATGCTCATTTTTTTTTTGTGCAGCCTGCGGTTGCCACAACGATCATCTACTTTCTATCAACTTCACAGCATGTGCATGCTTCCTCTTCGGCGGGCTGCCTGAAAGGATCATTTTCTGGGACCAACCAATGACTGTTTAAAAAAAATCTGGACAAACCCTGCATTATGTCAGTTTTAAATTTGAAGCCGAATGGGCGTCTCCCATTACCGCCATCTGGCTGTGTAGTTTGTGCCGTTACTACTGGCAAATGCTAAAATAGACGAAGTGGAGCTGAGGGTGGTAGCAAATGACTGACATCCATCAAACTTTGAACTAATGTAGCTACATGCTAATTTAGCTACCCTTAAGCTAACACAAAGCTAGGCGCTAAAGGAAGTAGCTAAACTTGCTATCTTGAGTAAACCTGGAGCTAATCTGAAGCTAACGCAGATTTGGAGGCTTACCATTGACTGTTAAATACAAGCACAGCCTCAGACCACGGTGATCGGCGCCCGCAACACGAGTTCAGGCTCTGCTTCTCCGCAGCAGTCGGAGCTCAGCAAGACGATGGCAGCTGCGAGGCTTTGGCAGCCCATTTTGACCAAGCAGCGTATCTTAAATGCACGGCATCATACCCCATTCAACCAGCAAAGTAAAGTACAGAAATATAATTTTACTTACTGATAAAAATGAAGCAGAGACTTTTTAAACTGTTTGTTAATGCAAGCAATACCACAGCTTGCCATCTTTGTCCAACTATTCCATGATTAACATCCGTACACGAATAAACTGAAGACTAGGGCTGCACGGTATTAGGAAAACCTGCGATATTCGATAACAGCGCTTAATATTGCGATATCGATATTACTCACGATAAATGAACAAATACTAAAGTATGCAGTGTTGATGTCGTCTGGCGTGTGACGTCTGCTCTGGGTTCAAAGCGAACAAAACCTAATGCATGAATTCCATTACAACATAACATTTTTATTGCAAAAATATGCAGCTGCACCTGCTACTGTATTAGCAGCTGCACCTGCTACTGTATTAGCAGCTGCACCTGCTACTGTATTAGCAGCTGCACCTGCTACTGTATTAGCAGCTGCACCTGCTACTGTATTAGCAGCTGCACCTGCTACTGTATTAGCAGCTGCACCTGCTACTGTATTAGCAGCTGCACCTGCTACTGTATTAGCAGCTGCACCTGCTACTGTATTAGCAGCTGCACCTGCTACTGTATTAGCAGCTGCGCCTGCTACTCTATTAGCAGCTGCGCCTGCTACTGTATTAGCAGCTGCACCTGCTACTCTATTAGCAGCTGCACCTGCTACTGTATTAGCAGCTGCACCTGCTACTGTATTAGCAGCTGTACCTGCTACTGTATTAGCAGCTGCGCCTGCTACTGTATTAGCAGCTGCACCTGCTACTGTATTAGCAGCTGCACCTGCTACTGTATTAGCAGCTGTACCTGCTACTGTATTAGCAGCTGCGCCTGCTACTGTATTAGCAGCAAAACAACAAACGGCATGCATGCAGTTTCTCAGTGACTTTAAAACATCACCTCCACCATATACAGAAAAACATCCCTCACCATGGTTTTTGGAATAAATAGTTTAAATGTTAAATAATAGTTAACATCACTTAAATGCAACAGCAAATTCTCTCATTGCTACTGAACATTTTCTCCACTTATGTGGTTATGATATAAAGCTTGGTTTATGCTTGACACATTCACTTTCTGCTTGGTGATGCGGCTCGCGGATGGAACGCGCTTCACAACTCGCAGCGTTTATGGTTCGTGCGGCTCGTCTCTGCGGTGAGCCAATATTCTCCCAAACTGTAGGGGGCAGCATGGAGCTCTATGGCATGCATCCAACACTACACCATAGTAAAAGTAACAATTACTGTTTACAACATGGCATTCCAGCATTTTTAACAGCGTCCTCGTCTTTTCTGACAGTGCGAGCTATTTCTCTCCAAGAATTATTAACAACATGTTGATCACGGTGATCTCTGAGAGCTGAATCATACAAATGTCTGTATTTGCGAAACTCTGCCATACTAGTTCTTGCCGGTCCGCCATGTTTTTCCGCGTCCAACCGTCCGCGTGGTTAGAAATTTTCCGAGGTGCGCATTGTGGAAATTCTGGGCCGTGCGTGGTTGTTAAAATGACGCAACTTTTCCGCGCGGAGCCGTGCGAACCTCGCGGACGCGTCAAGCATAAACCAACCTTAAGGCTGTTGCTGTAATTGGGAAGTGAACTGTGCTGGGCCAAACTAGGAGAATATTAAGATTTTCTGAGGGAAAGAGAAAAACAATTGTCTACCTTTCAGAAGAGGAACCAGCAAAAAAAACTACATGGAAAATATGTGAAAACGTTTGTTTTTAACCCCAAATTGAACAAGTTTACCTAGATCTTAAAAAGCAGCTCGGATGATGGAACTGCAACTATGATTCTGATAACAAGCTAACAAATTGAACTAAGATAACCGGCTAGCAGAGCTTCTGACTGACAGTTTATGTGCAGCAGCAAATCAACTATCCTGATTAACAAGGTTATAAAAGCTCATAAATGAAAAATCACTTTGATGTGTGGGGGAACTTTTCCAGGCCCTCTTTAGCAGGGTGGGACTGGGAGGAGAGTGCTGTAGCCTTTTAGCTAGAAGCTAACTGGAGCCTGGGGCTAACATCACCACCCGGTGGAACACTAGCGACATGAAGGTGGGTTGGTTCACCGGCACGTGTCGGAGTCAGCCCGGTTATTATCAGCTGCTTAACGACACCGAGCGGACTCACGTTCAGGTTTGAAAGCAGCGTTGAATCCAGAAACCTCAGCACAAAGTGCGTTCGTTAATCTGAGCCAGCATGACGAACAAGAGAAGCGAGCGGGGGCGGAGCGGAGATAGTGGAATTTTGGGGTAAGGGTCTACGTAAGGGGCCGCATATCTGAAGGACTGCATTTGATTGGTCAAATAATACTTCCGCGTAAAAAACAGAGCTGGTTTACAAAAAGTTGATGTATGACATGGATGGAAATGTTTGAACCAAGCATTTATCGCCGTTTTTGACGTGCTTTGCGATGGGCCTATCGCACG